GTCTAGTGGTTAGGTTACCGGACTCGTTATCGTGAGGTTGCTAGTTCGGAGGTTCGAGCCGCGGGCCCGACATTGTGTCCTTGGGAAAGGCACTTTATACGATTTGTCCTCACTTCACCCAGGTGGGAATGGGTACTCAGCCATAGTCATTATGTATAACATATAAATATATGTAGTCGAACCTGCCATGATGGCCACCTGTACAAACGACCACTTTCCATTCCCCCCGCTTCCTTTGCGTTTTTTCTATATAATGTAACTGCGTAAAACGGTCACCTGTCCAAAGCAGCCGCGGCCACCTTATTTCATTAACCCACGGTCAAATGTACCTGCCCCAGACAGCCAGGCGTGGTCACTCATTGCCCGACGCTTTGTCAAAAATGTTGAATCGGTCCTGACGCTGTGGACGGGCCGTCATAATTCGTTCACCTGTCGTTGTTGTCAGTCCCTCCAATGACTGTTTACCCAAGTTGACCAATGGGTAGGCCTGACAATAAATTTTCAACTGCTGGTGAGGGAAGCGTGTGATAAGTCATAACCTATAAGCCCCGCCCACAACTCATGCACAAATCGTGTGTGAGGTGACTGGTCACTGTTTTGTTTACCTAATCTGTAACAAAGTAACAATGGACGTTGACGTGAACTTGTGACAGAAGCGTCGCTCGTTCTCCGAGTGGTGGCGACCCGTGTGTTTGTTTTACCATAGCACTCGGTCTTCATCGTGATACTTACAGAATGGTTCCTTTAGTTTACCCTTTCACATAGTCAGGAAAAAGAAAAGAAAGCTTAAAAAACCCCAAAAACCACGCAACAACAACAACAACAATTCTTACACCACCCACCCCCCTTTTCCAAAAGAAAACAAAAACCCTTTTAAATTCGCCTTACGCCCGTCCTAAGTCTGAGATCAGCCCCAGCTTGGACCCCACAAGGGAATGGTTTGTTTTCTTTTTCTGTTTTTTTTTTTTTTTTTGGTCCTGTGTCCTGATTTTGGTGCCCATATCTGTAGGTTACGTAGAAATGTATTGACATGATGCAAATTGTTATGTTTTCTAGAAAATATGATGATGGTGATGGTGATGGTGATGGTGATCATGATGATAATTATTTATGGTGACGATGATGATGCTATAATGTTGGAAATAATGTACATATTAGTCTTAGTGTTAAGTGAGTTTTCATTTTTTGTAGGCGCTTCCTCTAGCTCCCCGCCAGGCTGTCCTGGGGGGCAGGACACAACCCTCATTCCCAACTCCTCGCATAGAGAGACCAAACATTTGGAAATAATTCGTCATCTTCATCACTAGCATTTAATAAAAGTAGGCCGAAAATCCCATTGGGGGGGGGCAGGACACAACCCTCATTCCCAACT